TTCTTTAGAGACTTAGCAGAATATTTAGATATATGTGTGTTAAACATGCCTTATCACTCGTTTCTTCTTCAGAAGCATGACAGGAAGTTCCAGCTAATATCAAAGCTGTCAACTGCGAAGATCAGCGTATTGCAAAATAATATACCCTATGGAGCTTTTTATAGATGCAAATTAAAAGCACTAAATATTAGTTGTTTTCTGTTAGATTCATTTACAATAAAATTTTATCAAAGTATACGAACATAACTTTAGGAGGCATTTAAAATGAAAAATAAAATATTTTTGCCTCTTATTTTGAAGTAAGGAAAGAAGGATTATTAACCAGTGTGATAACAAAAGATTCTAGAATAAGAGTGAAATTTGAATGCTGAAATTAGCGATTCGTCGCATCGGTTTAGTACACATAATATATTTATACTAGATGTACTTTCGCAGGTTTCTCGAAAGTATTCTGTTTCAAGAGTAAATAAAACCAAAATTAAGAGTAACAAATATTCTTATTCCTTGCTTTTGAAGTTCGTATGTCATGCTGGGTTGTAACCTACAGAGTGAGTAATTCTTCTCGTGATTCATGGCATGCGCACGCTTTACTTATATCACGATAGTACAAATTTCAACGTTAAGCGTCTCTTATGTGACATCATTTTAGTGTCTACTGACTGACTGATAGACAACACACTACTGTATAGGGGTGCGAGGGGTTAAAACAGGTGACCTCTCTAGGCGTTATTAGGCCCTCTTTCGGAGAAATTACACAAGAACCATTTCATATTGTACCAAAGCTCTTTCAAATTCCATTAGAACCTTTTAATAATACAAAAGAAACCTGTAATTTCTATCGTCTTTGAGCTTTAGTCATTGAGTTTTGCACCTTGTGCAAAATCTAAATTAGTCTGTTTTTGAATTATGATATTTACTGAGTCAAAATTTAATAATTACTTTATCTTTAAATTAATAAATCCATTGTCATCTTAAGGCAGAATGTTTTTAACGACGAAGCGTTATTATCCTGTTCTAAACAAAATGTTTGGTGTCTCTCTATCGAGTAAATAATATTTTTTTTGAAATACTTATAAAAAATTTTGAGATCGCCATGAAAAACGAAATATAGACAAAGTTCAATTCGATAACTTCTTAATAAGAAAGTCCCTAGTTTCGGTTTTTGTTTAAACCAACTTTCGAGATTGTGTAAATATTTATCAAAATGATCGACACAGATCATGAAGTAGCATTTTGTTTATTTACACACAACTTGCAGGTGAGATTAACTACAAAAACACTTTGGGAGTCAAATCAAAACAACAGCGCTCTCTCTGATTGCCTGTTGTTGAACATAATGCTCTCAATAAGACATTTATTTAACATGTTATTAAAAAGCCGTATTTTATTCCAAAATTGGCATTTAGTTGTGCCTTTTTGTGGGCTGGTATCGATAAGCTTTCTTAAAGGATATAGTCAGACAACGATTTCTCTAGAAAATTGGAAATGGACAGACGAATTATTGATTTATACCTATTGCTTTTTATTATCTGAACAGTATTTCAGCTAGTTCATCAATAGTTGAGCTAGAAGTATAGTTACAACAACTGATATTTATCGTACTTCGTGAAAATTGTCCAATATATACGATTATTTGCTTTTTTTTTGAGTACACAAAACTGTGTTAGAAATATCTCAATTCTCCTTTGGCCATATTTGCGGCAGCTATAGTACGAAGAGAAGATATTGCATTTCGAAGGGTGTTTTCCTTAGTTCCAGGACAAAAATGGCTCGTGTATATAAAAGTCGTCTTTAATACTCAATTTGTTCAATACTGTAACTGTAACTTACTGCTTATTTGATCTGACAAAAATATTTGTTTGTTCGTAATTAAGCACAAAGCTACACAATGGGTTATCTGTGCTCTGCCCACCACGGGTATCGAAACCAGGATTCTAGCGTTGTAAGTCCGTAGACATACCGCTGTGCCACTGGGGGGGGGGCTATGACAAAAAGAAACAAATTCAGTGTTAAGAATCTCATGTTTGATTAGTTTTTAATTATATCTCGATGTTCAAATCATTCTTAATAACGGTATATAATACTTCCAACAAAGGCCTGAAGTTCCTTTGAAAAATAACAATGGAGCTTCTGGAATACCATAGGAACCAATAATCAACCATTTCTCCAACTTCATTTTACAATGTTGAGAGTATGTTTATATTTATGAGTATGGGTGAAGGGGGACTTTGCAGCGAGAATAGTTAAGTGTCAACAGTAGGTGAAAGAGAAATATGGTGAGGAGACAAAACTATTGATATTTCAATCGTAAACAGCTTTAATGCTCCAGATGCGTTCGTTTTTAACCATACTAATTTAGACTCTCTTATGATAATAATCCCATTACAACGACTTCACAACTTTTTTTTTACGAATAATTTTGTTCAAGGTAACCACGTGGTGGAGTATATGTTTGAAGCCAAGTCACGCATAACATCGTTTACTAGTATTAGAGTTTGCGCTTGATTGTAATTCAATAAGCTTGAAGAAATCTTTCGTTTCTATACGTACATACCAATTGCAAGCACGTTTCACTACTCTAAGCTTTAGCAACGTCGTTGCTAAGAGAAGTCCAAGCGTTACTTTCTTTTTTTTTTTTTCAACTAAATGCCAATGAAATAAAAAAAATCAATTTAAAACTCTCTGGTTGGATATTATGTTGTAAATATGTTTCCTATTGGTGCTTTTTTCTAATTTTTCTTATTCTTCTGGAATAATTCAGCAAACCAAAAACATCATACATATATACAGTTCATCACAGCAAGAAGTATTCTTTTTTTGGGGGTGGTCCAAAGTTATTGATGAGTGGTAGAATCTCTGGAAACCAGTATAACTCGGTGACAAATGGTGGAATCCCTCGAAACTAGTATAACTCGGTGACAAGTGGTGGAAGCCCTTGAAACCACTATAACTCGATGACAAGTGGTGGAATCCTTTGAAACCAGTATAACTCGATGACAAGTGGTTGAATCCCTCGAAACGAGTATAAAACTCTGTGACAAGTGGTGGAATCCCTCGAACCAGTATAACATGGTAACAAGTGGTGGAATCCTTCGAAACTAGTATAACTTGGTGACGAGTGGTGGAGTCCCTCGAAACCAGTATAACTCGGTAACAAGTGGTGGAACCCTTCGAAACCAGTATAGCTTGATGACGAGTGGTGGAGTCCCTCGAAACCAGTACAACTCGGTGACAAGTGATGGAAACTGTGCATGAAAAGGCTGAATGTGTCGTTTGGCTTGCAGAGACCGAGTCAATGATTGTGGTGCAGCGTAATTACAGACGCCAGTACAGGAAAGAAGTATGGGGGTATGTTTGGGATATCGTGTATCGCACACCTATAGCAAACATCACTGAGCTAAATACCAGAATATCAGACGCCATCACTACTGTAACTGTGGACATGTTGCAGCGAATGTGGACTGAAATCAAATATCGGTTAGACATGCTGAGAGCCACTAACGATGCACACACCTAGAAGTCTACTGACATGTCCATAAAAACTATTTGAGTTGGGGTACAAGATATTGAAAATTGTATTATTGTATTTCCTTAGTTAGTTAACTATTAAATTTCAAAATAGGAAATACAATTTTGGACCACCCTGTATAAACCCGGATAGAAGTGAAAACAAACTGAAATAAATGACAAATTTAACCAAAAATATTAATTTGTTAAAACAAACATAAGATTTGGATTGTTCCAAAAGTAATAGCCTCACATAAAATCGCTAAAATATTTTCAATGACTGTTTACCTCGAGTGCTAGCTATATAAGTTAAAAACCAATGTACCTTGAATACTAGCCACCGTATCTGATGCATATTGTTCAAAAGTAAATTATTGTAACATCTAATTAATAATTGTTTACTTTAACATTTTTCAATTTTGCCTCCTCGGAGATTACTAGTCCTAGCAGATCCTGATGGATAATTCACCATAGCAGGTCAAAACTCTTACTTACTGTTGATTTAACTCGATTTTGTACATTGCACCTGTTGGTTGTAAACTAGTCCTACGAACATATTAAGCACTTTGTGTAATTTTATATAAGAAATAGTTACTTACAGTTTATCAAAAGTCTTGTAGTCTCGTTTCTTTTTTATAGAATCAAGTCCACATTTACATTTAATATATTGCTGTTTGTTTAAATTCTACTTGAAAGCAAACAAACGGTTATCTGGAGGAACAGATACGATTAAGAAACTCATTAAAGGTTTCTAACAGATGATGGATCGAATATTTCTATAAATAAACTCTGTAAGAGGGCGCCATTAAAAGTTACTGTCATGTTTTCTCCTGTTTTATTAATTATACAGGGTTAAAGTAAACAGCTAATGTATTTATCGATGTTCATCTTAGAGTTAATTAATTAGAAGCATGTCAAATGTAGTCTAAAGATAGTTTTACTTGAATTTAAGTGGTTTTTGTAAGTTAGATACTAACTTGGTAATAATTTTATGTTATAGAGGAACGGGAAACTAGTATTCATGAAGAAGACTGAGACTTAGTGGTTAATAAATAGATTTTTTTATATGTGGACTCGGATTAAGGCTCAAATTTGTAAGACCTCTAACCAAAACGACGAAGTTTATTTGATATAAAACCAGAACAATTATATTTGAGCAATTTTGTGAGACGAAGTAGGAACTACTTTATTAAGATATATGTTATTGTTATTTTTTATAAACATTTAGTATGGAAAAAAGTATATATATATATCCATGCGTATACAGATAGGTAACTATGTAAACAGAAAAAGATAAATTTATGTATAATCACGCCAAAGTAGTTCGCGATCCTGTGCCTAAGGATAGCAGGAACAACCTCTAGATATAGATAGCAAGAATGAATATGTAAAATAAGAAACACTTTTGGACATAACTCGTAGCTTAGCGCGATACCTATGGGAATTTCCGAAAAGTTTTGATAATTTTTTGTTCTTTTATAGAGCAACCAAACATGAAGAGAACCACTCTGTTAACCTTTTCTGCAGCTATCTTTGTGCTGATGACGTCATCAACTGCAAGTCCTGTGGGAGTAAGATCAAATCTTCAAAACTTTGCTCGGATGATCATGCCTTACCTGAAAAACCACGTTGGAGGACATGGAAAGCATAATTGGCCTCTAGCAAACAAGAATTTGTTTTCAGAAAAGCCACAAATGGAGATAGAAACCGATGGGATCGAGACTATGCCAGATGTAGGGTTCACCGACTTTGAAGATAATGAGCTGAACGACATGCGCGCCATCAAGCGGCAGTTTGATGATTATGGACACATGAGGTTCGGTAGAAGTAACAGTATGAAGAAGTATGACGATTATGGGCATATGCGCTTTGGAAAATGAATATTGTAATAGTGGAGAATATCTCACGTAATGATTTATGTACGTTTTTTTCTTTCCTACAACTTGAGCATCGTATATATATATATATATATATAATATTTATCCAGCAAACCTAAATGAAAATTTAGTTCGGCTATAGTCAGTTCTTATGACGTATACAATGTACATATATATGTATATATATATAAAAATAATCAGTAACTTGCAATAAAGTATTGCTGTGAAAAGGAATGAGACAGAATGATGAAACTTGATTTTAAAGTATACAATCGTAAAGCAAACAGTAATAGTGTTGCTAACTTTCATTTAAGGAAAAACATAAAAACAACACTTTAAATGCGAAATAAAACTCTTTGGCCGTTGACGGTCACCGCTTTAGTTGGTGGTCGTCGACGGTCACCAGTTACATCTCTACACGTTTCGGCAATTTCACACCGTTCTAATTGATGGTCATTAATTACAATTATACACGTTTCAGCAGTTTCACACTATTCTAATTTATTACCGTCGACGGTCACCAATTAGAACTTTACACATTTCGAAGTTTCACACTGTTGTAATTCATTGTTGTCAACGGTCACTAGTTACATCTCAACACGTTTCGGCAATTTGACACTGTTCTAATATATTGTCGTCTACGGTTTCCAGTTACATCTCTTTACGTTTCGGAAGTTTCATACTGTTCTAGTAAAAAACGTCGACGGTCACCAATTATAACTCTACACGTTTCAACAGTTTCACAATGTTATAATTTATTGTCGGTAACAATTTTCAGTTATAACTCTACGCTTTTCAGCAGTTTACACCGCTTTAGTTGGTGGACGTCGACGGTCACCAGTTACATCTCTACACTAATTGATGACCGTCTACGGCCAAATAAAATTTATTGTGCATTAAGACGTTGCATTTTCAAATGTTCTGATGGGAAAATAGCAAATCATAAGCTAAAAGAAGGAGAACAATATTCGCTGTTACCGATTAACCTAGAATCTATCTTGTTGAAGGAAAAACAGCAGTCTTTGTTACTGTTAAAATACATTTCATCACAACTTCCAATATATATATATATATACGTACATTATGAAAATAAATCTTTCACTTTTTCACACTAGATGGCACTATAGCAGCGACTGAAAATTTACTGATTAACCGGGCACGTAGAGCTCGGATTGAAACTCTTAGAGAATACATAATAGAATATATGTCATTAATGGAAATTTCTTAACATACGATACGTAGCATGTTGAGTAAACAAAAGATCTTTAGAACAGAGACAGTTGGTAAAGTGTAATTTTTGAATAAATTTACGAGGACTTTTTATGCAGTTACATGTGTTGTCTTGCTCGCGAATTATAAAAGCTTATAGTAGTATCGTCAACGAGTATACTTCTTCTAGTGATCTTCAGACATTTATTAAAATACGTGCAAAGCTAATTTATTGATCATATACAAAGGTTGAGTCCGTTATATCCAGATTATTTTTGATCTTCACCATGTCGTTAAAGTCCATGTCGTCACGTCGGGTCATGCTCTATCTAACGACCCTAATGTAGATTACATTGGAAGAGGCTCCATCGTAAGGCTCTCATGTTCAAATCATTCCACTCCTTCCTAGATGCTTTCCAAATTTCAGCTAATGTATGAGGGAATGTGGTTTCCTAGCGCCCATTTCCACAGTCTTATCATATAGAAATCCATAGACGCTGCGTCTGCCGAATTGACAGGTATGCCTTCGTATAAATTAGCATGAATGTTCATACACCGTTGGTCTCATTTACAGATAGAGATACCTCTTATTTCTGTTTCGTACTGTTGCCTGGGCCACGTGGATGGCTTTTGCCACTGATCTTTGTGATCGTAGATTCTCATCTCTTATAAGACGCTGGGGTACGACTTGTTGTAGGTCTCTCTTTGGATGGTCCTGATTCCTCAAGCTGATCTATATACTTTGTTTTCTAATACCACTAAGCACAAAGGATATCTCTGATCTGAACACATTTTTATGATCTGATTGTATGAATATCTTGCGTCGGAAAGGAGTGTTACATACCTTTCCCAAAAAACAATCAATTTTCTGTGAATAAAAGATGTCAAAACCCGAAAACAATTCATTTTCGGTGAATAAAAATGTCGAAAATGTAGTCCTGTTTCATGTCGTTCCACTGCCCCTTTATATATGCTGTGACTGTCCAGTGACTTGCTGGTTTGCATGATCAAAATCCCTTTTAACATAACGTAAACCCACTTTGGTACCATGTTGTGTAAGCTTGCGCAGACCATTAACCGTTCTTGTCTTCGTGCACGAACAAAAATATTTTTAGATTAATTTCATTGAACTTAAATAATTATGTATATTATAATTGAAATTACCAAATCTCTAAATGGATTTCGATCTTTTAAATAAATTGGTGGAACAGCGGTAATTTTTCTGACTTAAAACGCTAAAATTCGGCGTTCGATTCCCCGCATTGGACATAAAAGATACCGCAATACGGCTTTATTCTCAAACAAGTCGTCAACCTTTAAATAAATAATAGTGTAATACAAATATTTTGATCTTTTAACAATCTTTGTGCAATTTAGCATAAAAGTGTAGAAATTTGGTTAAATTACACATGCAGTTGTATTTTATGTTTACATTCTAACAACTGATCATAAAAAATACCCTTTAACGTTTTCATGTGTTAAACATAACTTTAGTTGTTTGTAGTTTCTCATTTTGTATTACCACTAAAATTCACAATTTGTTAAATGGAAAACTCAGGTTCTTCTCAATGTATGTTTTCAGATCAATATCCAGGTACACTCTATGGGTATGTTTAGCTTATCAAGGGTATCGAAACCTAGTTTTTAGCGTTATAAGCTTACAGACTTACCGCTGAGCCACTGAGTGGTGGGGGTGTGAGTGGAGCATTACATTTGCGATCAAAGTAAATGTTTCTACAAAATTTCATTGCTAAACTTTTGTTATATAAAATATTCATGTAGTTTGATAACTACCAATAACCGTTTTAGTGCCCCCCCCCCAGAGGCACAGCGGTACGTCTGGGGACTTACAATGCTAGAAACCGGGTATCGATACCCGTGGTGGGCAGAGCACAGACAGCCCATCGTGTAGCTTTGTGCTAAACTTCAAACAAACCGTTTTAGTACAATATGATTGAGGTTACGACTTACTGAAAAATGACTATTATTGAAATTTTTGTATGATTTAATGTCTAAACATATTTTATAAGTTTTCTCTGCAATTACGTGAAGTTTATTATTGTTTCTATTCGCTAAATCTTCATGAAGAAGACTATTCGAGTAACTACTCTTAATCGTTTCATTAGGTTAAACTGAGTAGGGTAGGGTGTTAACTGAACTATAGTATTAAGTAAGTACATTATTATCTACCTTATCCTTATCATGCTTATCGAGAAACAAACATAAACAAAAACTACTATAACAACACAGAAATAAAATTGAATTGATAGACTAGCGGGGATCAGCAGCTCCACCTATTGCCAACTTCTGGGTTATTCTTGTCTGACCGCCACTCATATAGAACATCCACGGCCCCAAAGCACGTAGAATGTTTTTGTGGTAGTGGGATATGAACTTGGAATCATTGGATTCCCGGTCCGGACAGACTAACAGGGGCCATTCCGGTTCCTACTCTCTGTGATTCATTTCAAAGTGATGAATGAGATTGTGTGAAACCGCTACATATATATCATAGACTAAATGACCAAAAATTAATAACCATTCATTATATGCCGGTCTTCAATACAAACGAGATGGATATGTGACATTGTTTTATAACAATGGTTTGCCTTGTTATAATTATAATCTTAAACATTGTTATTATCATTAACTGTTTTGTTCAGAGTAGTTGGATAAGGTGTAGCAGTGTAAAATGTTAATAACTAAAGGCAGCAAGAGAAATATATTTAAAAATAAAAGACACGTAATTAAGAAAATATATGAGGAGTAAATAACTGAGAATATATTTAGGTAGGCAACACGGAAAGTAAATATATCTGCAAAACACGTGGGACATATAAAGGATTATACAAACAGTTAAGAAGCTGAACACGTAAGTCGTAGATAAATTAGAATTGTTTGTTTTTTGAAGTTAAGCACAAAGTTACACAATGGGCTATCTCTGCTCTGCCCACAACGGGTTATCGAAACACAGTTTCTAACATTGTAAGTCCGCAGACATGCCGCTGTGCCACTGGGGGGTATAAATCAGAAAGCAAGCGTTATGCACCAAGTTACTGAGTGGATTATTTCAGAATTTTACAAATGACTTATAGGATAATTGAAAATTGAGAAATTGATACTTCATTGTAAATATACAATACTGGAAAAAATTATGGAAACGAGGAGGAAAAAGTAATATTACAAGTAAATATTACAGGAGTGCCACCTCTTAATTTTGTAAAAATTAATTGCTCCAGAGTTCGGTCACATGCTGACAGTTTACACTGTGATTCGTTGTCATCCAACCAATCAGAATACGCCACCCCCAGTATAACGTCTTTGTTTGTATTTTCTGTGATAATATTTTGTAACATTAATAAATTCACCATACGCTGCTATTACTCGTTGTTTGGGGGCTCCTATATGTGTATCACTTAAATTAAAACAACTAAGTTATTGTAAATATCAGACATTAAGCATAACATCTTGTCGAAATTCACTTCTTCCAGAAATTCAAATACAAATTATTTGTTTATAAATTACCAAAACTACAATCATACCATGTTTCACTATGCAACATAACGTTTCAGCATTGAAATACGCAATATATCTATGTATTATTCTTTTAATTTAACTTACTAGCATAAAATATTCGTGCGTTGCTGGGTGTTTCAACCACACACCCTCTCATTATTCACAGAGGCGATAAAGTTCCTCCTTTATCCTCAATGACTTTTACAGCTACATAAAAGGTGGTCCGTACCCGAGAGACAAAAACCTATTAGGATACCTGCTCATGGTTTCTTAGTGCA